ACTTTTATATTTATTCTATATTATTTATATTGTATTGTATTTATTTTATGTAATTTCCCCGAAAAAGGGGGGTTGCTTACTACCCTAGTCACCCACCTAGATCCTCCCCTGAAATAGAACATGCATGCCACTTAGTTTGGCATTGTTGTAAATATAGATATCCATCAACGATAAATTTGATCTTTACAAATATCCTCAGGCCACTAGTGTATTTTGGTTGGGCTCCATTACTTCTTTAACTTTTCAAATTACCAGTGGTAGGTAGGGTAGTGCCGGTATTTCAAAACCATAGCAATTGTAATGTACTTTTAATTTTAAACATGAGCAAAAGTTCGAAAGGGACGCTGGTAGACCATGTCCCTTTAAAGGTATTGTGTACTTTAGTCCCCTGTAGACAATTTTTTCAAGTAAACATATGGGATTATCAGGCGTTTTTACCACATGGAAGGCAGTTTATCCGTAACTTAAAAACAAACAGCTTTAATTTACTGCATCGATTCCACATTTCTTTGAGAGGTTTCCATTAATAGTAGGCATTTGTAGGGCTGTAGCAAAATTTCCCAGATTAGTATTAACTATACATACATAACTATAACTATAACTTYAACTATATACAGCCTTTTGCACAAATTATGAGACATTTTTATATATATAAATATACCTAACCAAATATCAAAAACACCCAAGAAATTATGGGATACCGTCGCTGATATTTTGTCTGTAACAACCTGATGCTAGGSAATCATGACAAAATATAATAGAGATATACCATAATTTCTGGGGTSTTTTTGATATTTGGTTAGGTACATATTTATATATATAAAAATGTCTCATAATTTGTGCAAAAGGCTGTATATTGACTATATTTGTATTCAAAGGCCATTTTCCGCAGGCATGTAATAGATCCCACTTCTGCTTTTTTCGGTAAAGATTTTAAACAGGTTATACGCTATTATGTTTTTCGGTGCTACAATATAAGTAGTTCTTCTATTCTGGTGTTATTTTGAACATGAATTTATAAATAGAATGCTGTATCGATGTTTAAAAACAAAGACATGAATACATTAAGAGATATCTATTATGGGCCGTCTAATCAGACTGATGCTATCGCGTTGAAGTTTCTATATTTTTCTATCCTTTTATATAAACAAGGAAGGAAACTATTAGCTGTGGCAGTGTCAAAACAAAAAACAAATTATAATATAAAAACCCAGGTAAACCGTACTCTGTTGGTGCTCGGTGTGCAAGCTCAGTATCACGTCGAAGTTTCAATACTTTTCTACGTCTGCAACATTTTGAGCTTACAAGCTCACAATACAAGTTCATGCGCATAGAAAGGTGAGTGTCTAAGACCACAAGCTTTAAATCAACATACATTTTCTACTGCAAATATTTGGAACCCGCGCACACATTCTTTACAGCAGACGCCATGTTTACAAAACGCACAGGATTTGCGCACAAGATTTGGAGCTGTGCACAAGAGGTATGCCACCTGTTCATTAAAATAGTACATTATTGATGAATGGAAAGTTGGAATTCAGGTTATAAAACTCGTTTTGATACATGTTAATGAATCACTTAGAGTGCAAAATGTATGCAATGGAAAAATATATCATTTCCTTACAATAATACAGAAAAGTCTTGTAAAAATTCTGTAAAATGTTAAAAAATTACAGGGTGAGTGCAAATTTCCATTATGAATTTGATGTTTTGTTTTATGGTTTTGTTAATTCTCTGTATTTTCTTCTGTAGAGTGTGCAAATTTAGACGGTAACACTTTTTTTACACGACACGGAAATCTATTTTCTAGTGTTTTGCTTTAATGCTCAACTAGCTGACAGATAAAGTGCTTGAAATATTATGTTCAATTCGCACGGTTCTTTCAAGAAAAGACTAACCGCACGGTTTTACTGGATTTATATCTGACTCAAAAAAAGAAAAAGAAAATTTGTCAAATTTGTCACTTCTCCAAGAATACAAAATAATCAAATAAAAATCAAATAAGAYAAAATAATAAACAAACAGAAACAATGGCAACAACAAAACAAAGATGACATGAATTCTGTCAATAGCAGTCGCACTGACTCAGCAATAATATAACACAAGCATTACATAATCACAATCATAAAAACCTCTGACATCTGACTCAATAAATAAATCACATGATAATTATGACGTCAAACGAACTACTCTAGATTTATCCATACTATAATAATACTGACTCATCAATAGATATAACAATAAAGTTAAGAACGTACATCTGTCATATGAATGATGACGTCATTATSTTGTTTCCTTGTTGCCATAGTGACAATGACTAAGCAAAATAAGTTCAACAAAAACACAGATGACGTCAACGTCGTACATACGCTGATGATACATGGAACAAAAATTATGAGCATGTTTATCCCAAGGGCTATTGTTTCTATAATCGTCTTAATCGGCCCATAAAACTCGTTTTAGCATTGCTCTAGTTTTCTCAGGGGAATYAMAAAACAATAAAAAACGCATTTTAAGGTGATTGGGATGRTTATATGGAAACAMGGTCGAAATTTCAGTCAAGAATATATTTAGATTGCATGAGGACGTTCGATTTTCCGGTGAGCTAGTTATCGGTRTGCTTCCAATAATATRTAAATATTTACGTTAGTTACGTGGAATTATAGCGTCAATCTACACTCCCAATCAACCAATAAATTTACTGTTTTGCGAGTAAATACACTTAGAATCTAGTAATCTATGGTGTCATGGCCATAAAAAAATTTTTTTTCTAAATTCTTACAAAATCCTTAAAATTTCTTTAAAAAAAGAACTTGAATTGAACTAAAATTTAAAAGTCTAATCATAAGCTTYATGACCTCACTCTATGGGCAAAAGAATAATCAGATCCTTAGAAATAGATGGAGTATTTGATGCCAATTATGATATATACCATGTTCAAAAGCCATGAAAAAAGTAAAAGGACTTTGATGCAAACTTGCAGTTTGTTTCGATTCAATCTACAGTCGATTCACAGCCAAATGTTTCGGTTACTATCATGTAAGACSTACAGTGCAATTGGCATCAGGTATTGCAGGAACGCATGGATATATATTCCTAACTCTATACATTTGTATAGAATTTTCCAGAATATGTCTTCAAAACTACTGGGCTGTTTTTCTTTCTCTGGATTGAATTGGAACCCACTGGCCTGTACCTTAATTGTAATTGTATGTTCTAATAAAAATAAATTGAATTGGAATTGAATCAAATTGGTCGCCTATATTGTAAATAGCTCATACYTTGGATACCTTAATTTCCAAGCTCGATTGCTAAATATTGTTGATATTTTAATAAATTAAGATTGTTTACGATCTTTTATATATTGTACGACAATGTTGYTTACAGGGCACGCTCTTTGAAATAGCTYTGAGCTTCACACACTAAAMCGTATTGGCGTTGTATGGACTGAGTTCTGTTGCACCATTATACWTGCACTGTTTTCATGAATCAATGGTCCAGTATCMTCGCCGTTCGTTCCTCACTAAGGCCSATGATGAACTAATTTTAAGACAAAGCTTTCATGTCAAAAGTATTCCAAAACAAGAAATGTACAAACATTTCAATGCATATTGAGTAAAGTTGTGTCAAAATCTGTCAAAATTACCACAGCATACAATTCTTACCCTTGTAAGTAACAAGAAAATACTGTGACATTATAGAAATTACAAGTATCTATAACACATAAGAACTAATTTGTGACTGACTTATTTCGTAATTGTACTAGGGAAAACTTTTAAACTAGAATTTCTACGAATTCAATGTTTCAAGAAAAATCCTGAAAGTGCCATATTTTACATCGGCGGCGTATCGGATGAAAATCACAGAGGAAGACTACATTACGCCGTATATCCCACGACTGAATACGCTATATATACGCTATAAGAATATGGCTATAAGTAAATGAAGAAAAAACTCTGTGTCMATGAGTTCATTTTCAACAGAAGSGTTGGCAAGTTGGCTATTCATAGAGCGGTAAGATGTTCTTGAAGGAAGAGGTTAAAATGGTTTACAGCCTGCTTGTTTTCGATACATTTACCAATTTTGTACCACACTGAAACGTCGTGCAGCCGTCATACGTGTCTTAAGCCTTCCTATAACACCAAAGCCCGCTTCCTATATATGTTCCGTACCCCAATATACGAAAACGGAACGTTTCTCCCCGAATCAAGATTCGTGATAACAGGAGAAGGCTTGGCGTGCAATTAGTGGAGATCAATTTTCAATAATTTATTGAAGGCCGAATAGGCAGCAMCACACTTGGCTATAACTAACTATCGCTTGAAACCTGCGCAAGACATCCTTGGAAACATGGCTACACACGACTGTCGCAAGCCTTTTAACATGTTTTAAGCAATCTCTACAACAGTTGTAACCATGTTGTAAGGATTACTTGCGCAGGTTGCATGCGATGGTTGTAGGGAAAAGTAGAGCCGTCTAAGTCACCTTTTTGATTCCATAACAAACGCTTCAAAACCGACCCATCGCGTTCAATGTACGAMTTTGTACGTCGTTACACTTGAGATAACACCATAATTAACACATCTTATTGGCCCCTTTTTATCCAAACAAAAAACAAAAAACAAATATATCCATATAATTGAAAAGGCAATCAGTGATCGTTCAATGCTATTGTTGAGTTGGTAGCCAGAAAGACAACTCTATTTTATAGATATTGAAACTACACGGAAATTGTATACACAGAATAAAATCCCACAGAAATACTCTAAGTAACTTCTTCTGAACTCAATGCAAATGCTCTTGTAATTTATGAAAGTCAAAAAGGAAAAAAAATATTGAGGATATAGAAGTCATTAGCATAATCCAAATATAGCCATAAATACGTAAACAGTTTCTACCGCAACAATCGCTATGATTGGCTGTTGAAACAATRGTTTGATTGTTATGTAAATCWTGTGATACGCACTTCTGGATTACAGCCAAAAAAGGCGCCTTTTGTATTCTAACGAACTTTGTCGTTYAGGGTCGAGTTTCAGCCGAAATAACAGCGAAAAAACTTGAATTTAACCTTGAATATACCCAAGGAAAATAATTCCAACAATATGCTATGCATTGCATGTAACAGTAAGGTGAGTTTCGAGGGTATTTTATGAAATGACAACATCTGTTAGCTGCATATAGTACAAAATTTGATTTGATGAGATCGATGCCCGTGACTCTGTAGGTCAGTGGCAGTCTTGTTGTACATAATGCTAACGTGACGTTGAGCTTTGGATTTCGTGGCCTGTTTCTTRGTTATGYCTGAACATTCGCTATTAACATTAGTTCAGACACTGAACTTCAATAACAGCTCGTATACAGAGTGTCATAATAAATCCATATGAAATGGTTTGGTGTCCTAGAGGGAACTAAGCCATTCTTGTTTATACCACTGTGTACTCAATGTGAACGGGCATGAAGAAAATACAGATAATATAACAACGTATTATAGTTTACTAATAACGCGCGTAAAACGTTTCAACGTATAGATCTTTTGAGCGATTTATTACAATCGTTTAAGTGCGGATATATGAGGCACTAATCAAATGAATTTGAGTCTATACGCTCTATACTGTAAAATGTTCGAGAGGTATCCACCGGGAAGCTTCACTTATGGTGGTACTGATTCCAGATCGCTCCTGTTTTTAGACAAATCCCTTTTTAACGCGCAAAATATCATTTCATTRGATGGAACTTAGATGTATACAAAATTCGGTTTCAAAAAGCAATCAAAGTGAARTAATAAGAGCTAGTGAGAGTGAATTCTTATCGGGAATATAAACGGCAGTAACACTTAGCGGTGGGTATGTCATCGTGACATCTTTCACTCTCTCACTCAGCTTAAAATACTTCATTCACTCTATTTCATGTCGCATTTTCGTCTTTTAATATTAAAACATCGAAAATAGCCCAGTCAATGTCAGGTTTTTGAGTACAATTATGAAAAGAACAAAATTGTACAAACCTAAAGAAACGAACTAAGATTGAYAGACGTATGAAATGTGACAACAGATTGAACACCATTTTGAGCTATTTCTTTGCTATCGATTTATACCCTCGACGAAGCGAATTCAGGGGAATTGAGATTCATTAGACAAAGATCGCGATGCCAGGAAAAAGCGTCTCGTTTAAATGGCGACTATTGCAATGTTACATAATATTWCCACTTGTATGTGGAACAGTTGTACGCTGCTCTTCCTTGAGTACGGTTCTTTATAACAGCGGCTGTTGGTCTCTATTTAGACAGCATCGTTTTGCTCATTTCTTACGATATTACATGGGCTATGTCAAAGACTAGGTAGAGTATACCACATAGACATGGAAATTAAATTGGTTTTCCATGGAAGAACATTGAATGTCAACTCCGCAAGGCTAAAACCTAGGTGCCCTTTGTCAACAATSGTATATGGACTCAATAGGGGGCTCGTTCAGAACACAAAATCTCTAACTTTTGCAATATAACTACCTCTTAGCAYAAAATGTTTTGAGTTTCTTAGAAAACGGCTTGATTTAGACGATCTAGACTACTCTTGTGCTGGCTGATTGGCATGCCTGCAACGATTTCATCGGTCTGTCTGCTATGAAAATATGGCTATATACGCATTATATCATCAATATCGGCTGCTTACGGGCGAATATGTAAATCATGTTTGACAATGTGGGTGTTCAAAAACCTCAGTTCCGTGCTTTACGGACCGTTTCGACTAAGTCTGTTCACTGTAATGATCGAGGCTATGGTATCGAAATTAAGGCTTGACGATGAATGTATGTGTGTATGCTTTTGTACACACGTTWAATGAAACTACTTACGCGAAGGAATACAGCATTGCAGAGAACMAGTGGAATTGAGGGATTTACCGGAGTTTGAAGAAAAAAATCTCCATAACCTATTTTTCAGATATTTTGCTMTTGTCGATATTCGTATGCATGTATGTTTCGCTTACTAAAGATGTTTTTCGTGCAGTAAGAAAAACAACGGAATTCAGTGGATTAAAATAATGGAATAAAATGGAAAAAGATAAAAGAATAAGACGAAAATAAGACAGCACTTAGTGCTATGATATAAATTACGCTAATGTGATGCACTCGTTATTCGATGTACATCAAAGATGTAATAAGACATGCTAAAATGAATGGAATTGTGGGATTTATCAGCATGTAAAAAAACCGAACAAAAAACTTAAAGGAATCATAGATATTGCGTCAAAAATCATTGTGAATTATAACGCTAGACCCTTGCAGAGTATTAATTTGGTATGGTCTTGTGATAGGTTCCTGCGTCAATCAAGATTTGCTCTTGTGGACATGTTTTCTCACCTGAGTCCCAACGCATCCTTGGTAAGCGGTTTTCAGGTAAGTTATGAAAAAGAGGCTGCCACCTGCTCGGGCAACCTGGRATTAAAGGCCCGATTCTCACGTCGTGCTATCCGAACCAAATAATCAATTTGTGTCGACCCAAATTCATTTGTTAAGACCTTGATTTCGAACCAAATGCAGTCAAAAGTATAAGAAAAGGTCCGATAATTTACATCCACTACTATACCGTCGGAAAAAGATAATTATATCTGTGCTTTAAGTTCGGTACGAAGATGTACAGTTCACTGGAAAAAAATCGCGCACTTTTAAGGTTGTAAATTTGATGTTACATCAAATTTACATCATTTTGGACACTTACATCATATTTGCAACCTTTAAAGTGCGCGATTTTTTCCCTGATTGATAGCTCGACGTTCCAATCAGCGTTGGGCTTTTGTTGTCGCGCAGCGAAAGTGACGCTGCCGTGTCACAATACCAAATTCAAACTATTTGGTTCGGCCTGACTATGACACAACGTAAATGAGCCTAAGTCAGTCACTTCATTAAGTTATGGGAATACATTCATATATCCAAAGACAAAGAATTTTGTATTAATTTGCCTAATTTAGTTTGCAAACCAATTCAAGGATATATTGAGTACCTACTATCGCACAATGGAACTAAAAGCAAAAGATTGAATAGAAAAATGTATAAAATGAATAAGTAAAGAATGACAAGTAAATACGAATAAGAGGAATTGGGGACTATGTCCGTTAATTATTGCTTAGGGGTGTGTGTTTAGAAAGGGGAAGTATCTTTTTAAAAACAGACTGTTTCAACCGGTCAATCATGTTGTCCGTTAATGAATTAATAAAAAAATCATCTGCAAATATTAAATAGTAGTATTTGYATGTTCACTCTTCCACCTTCAAGGGGATTAACCGTTAAAACAGTGTCAAATCACCAACTATGGTTGTTTAACTCCTCAGAATTACCTGCGGTAGATTGCTCGTAAACSTACTTCTACATAATCGATGATGAATTATAATCACGATGAAATCATGTTGTCTTTCTCACTATAGTTTATAGAATCGGTCGGAAGAGAAGATCCAGTGGACTGAGTGAAAGGCAGTCAAATTCGGATGTCAAACTGGAACCGACAAGTCCAAAGGTACGAACTATCTAACTTCTTCAAAAAAACGTTTTTATTCGTTAGGGAAAAGCCATGTTGGAAATGCATTACGTGTGCTAGTCTTAGACGGTGTTTWTATATTAGAATTTTGCCTGTTTTAAAATTGCCTTCAGGTCGCAGGTGTAACTTGTTAACAAAAATTTTTTTCCTGATCTTCGGTTAATTATTGTTAGTTAAGGACGTAAGACTGAGGAGTAGATTAGACGTATCTAGGAGGTTATAACTTTCAACCATTGCAAGAACGATATATATGTTGTGTTTAAGGGTTGCAGCATCGTTGGGCTCTCGTCTCTCTCCACAGGTATCCCAATCTGCCTTTTGACGAAGGGAACAAAGGAATCCCAAAAAGGGCTGAGTTAAACAAGCTAATAGACCCCTTGCAGTTCATGGGAATGCAGCTCCAACTGGAGGACAAAACAATAGATTCTAGTTCCCAAGAGGATAAAAATCTTTTGTTTTGTCCTCCAGATGAAGCTGTTTTGACGTCACATGCAAGGGGTCTATACTCCATTTTCAAGTTAAAAGCGGATAACCGAAGTTTCATATGAAAACAGATTCCAGATACAAAAGAAATCATGAAAAAATGTTGTAAATACAAGAGTCCTAACAATTTGCATTTTCACCGAGTTGAGGTTAATCCTGTATTCCCAAAAGGCTTAAATTAGAGATAAATTTTCAAGGCTATTGTAATAACGACATTTTCTCGTGGTTTCTTGTGTTTCTGATAAGTTTTTGCGCAAGAGAATCTGTTGGCAGATAATCAGCGGTTATCCACTTTGAACTCCTCGAAAATGGAGTATTTGAGGGTAGTAAGCATGAGAACTGAACAAAAGCTATTACTTTATAATTAACTATAAGTAAAGTTACTATATGGTATCTTATTCATATGCCGGTTTTCTCATTGGYACAGAAAAAGAAAACAATCATGTTTCGGACCAGCCCACAATCCAAAAAACCTAAAGACTCGCCCATCAAGCGYTTGTCACATGTGAAAAAGAAAACGTCGAAAAARCGAAGGAGGTTCCAAGTGCTCAAGGAAAATCTTTCCGGTAAATCTAAAACTGAACGACAACTGATGGTGCAGACCTCGCCACAGAAAACATTACGACTCTCYCTCGCACTCGCAGAAATAAACAGACGCATTTGCGGCCAGACGTTACTATGGAGAATGCTATCGCCATAGGTGTATATAGTATAAATATATATTTATACAATAGAAAGAGTGAAGACGTGTATAATACTCGTGGGTCAAGTTCAGCGTCCAAGAATTCCTTCAGTGACAGAAGTAGAGATCTCAATTCAGATTGACGCATTTTATAACAATGTTTGAACAACAAAGTTGGCGACGGGACTGTTAGTTGGCAATACTACGTTCGGATTAGAAATAGGCATTATACCTAAGCATAAAGCGATACCTCTCAAGGAACACCTCTATACACGACTATAATAGGACCTAATACGGGCAGATATCTTTTTAACTCCAAGAAATTTTMCGAGCAATACATGGGCGCACATTGATAAACGTATTTCGCGGACATTTCAGTATATTACGACCACGTTTCTATGGCCCTTCGCCATGACCTTAAAATAGCTTTTTCGGTGTTAACTCAACAAAATATGTTTGTTGTCATTGTTAAAAGACAATAGAATCCGAAAACCGCGAAAACAAAAAAATAGTGTCAGTGTACATATGGACTTACAACATCGGTAATAAGCAGCTTTGCTTCTGGTAGCCAACGTCTATGTGCACGTAAATAAAAAGAGGTAATTAACGATGTGACCCCACCGCGATTTTGAATTCCATTGTTTTTGGTAAGGCATAAATAGGATGCCAAGGGAGAATTTATCAAAACATGAAGACAGTATAGTTACGAGGGTAATATATAATCATAATTTAGATACAACAATATGCAGAAATTATGATCATTTTGACTCACATTCCAATTATATACATAAAATATATAAAAAATTATGGGATATTATCGCTAATATTTTTTTCAGAAGTGCTAGCGCTAGGCAACTTCAAAAAAAWTATCAACGATGATATTCCATAATTTCTGATATATTTTATATATACTTGGAATATGAGTTCGAAAATGATCATAATTTCTGCATATTGCTGTATTTGGAAGCAATAAATAAAATACCTATAAAGCAGTATGGCTAAAGTTTATATAGGTCGTATATGAGCAAATAAATGCCCATACGAACTGTTTTATTACGAGCGAGTAATTACCCGTGATAAAATGAGAAAACAAACATATTCGACCGATGTAATCTTGTCTGTATATGATGTATAGGTCGCCTTCAATGTATTATTTTGTAAATAGGTCATTTTTATCAAAAATATATTATGTTCAATTACATTGTTGCATTTACTCTCTCAAAGAACTTGGAACACTGTATTCTGAAACATCGTAGTACAACAGAAACGATCTTTTGGAAGGAAAGCTTGGATTAACTTAAAGATATATGCTTTTAGTACACTATGCAATATCTACCTTTTTTTCAAAAATACTACTTATTATATAATAGTCTGTCATGATCCTTATCAGATATGGAATTATAAATCTGYAAATATGAGAATGATGGAAGTGGCATTTCGTTGTTTTTTAAAAACATATACTAGTTAATGAGTCCGATTCATTTGAAATATTATTAGAAATAGATACGTTAGTATATAGCCAGACCAGGAGCTTTGTAATCAAAGCCAGTTCAAAAATATCTAATTATGTATGAAGAGTGTATATACTTAATACCTAAAACATTAATAAAACAATAACAAACTTGGTCACTTAGTTTGTGTTGACATGTGCGCACTYTCTAATCATATGTGCGAATGTTTTTAATACAGCTCATTCAAAAAACAAAATGTTCAAAAAAGTTTCATCATMGAAGCGCGGCGCTACGACCGAAGGGGTGCATGGGAAGACAAAATTTGAGACGAGGAATTGTAGGCGATTTGGACTTTAAACGCAYACTATAAGGTAGTGATCGTTTTCTTACATGCTTCGGTCTTTCATGCAATGGTGTGACCTTTTTGAACCCGAAATAGTTTTTCAATAAGTGTGTATTTAATTCCTAAGTGCGCACTTAACGGTCTCATGGTCAGACTACGCTGACTCTGCCAACTCTATTCAATTGTCTATTTGGCTGAGACGCGTGCCAAGAACACTCCGGAAACTATTTCCTTTATGCATGTGGTCATGTTTCTCTTAACAATTGAACAAATGAGCTCGTGTTTGGATCGATTTTACTGCAAACACCCTAATGTCGTTCTTTCCACTTTAACACTCTTGTATATAGGGTGYCCATACTAACTAACATATTGATTTGTCGCGTGCTGAAACTCTTTCACAAAAGTAGGATGAGGTTTTGATCAACACCCTTGTTAAGATCAATAAGTGTAATTTACTTGCTTCTCATTAATAGAGTTTATGATGCACAAGCATCCGGTAGCGAAAAAGACGGTCCAAAACAATACACACTAACTATTGAAACTCTGTATAGCCTTTTTTGAAAATTCTAAAAAATTCAACAATATCTATAATTGCATATTTTGCGGTACGCTGTGGATACTTGTCACTGAAAAAGTTGCTAAAAACCCTCGCCAAAWGTGCTTATTAAAATATTACTTAGATGCCATCAAAGTTTCCAATGCCAGGTTTGGTTTGTTCCTGTTTTTTTTTTTCCACAAGGAGAAGGGTGGATTCTATCAATCAAAATTGAATTCTGTCTAGCTATATATAGCCATAACATGCATTCCAAGTAAAATTTTCTTGAGACGTGCGGTATTTACAATCAAGCAATAAAGATTATGATGATAYAGTGTGAGTGTGATGCTCGGTCGTGTATATGGATGTAAACATCCAATTTCAATTTTTCTAGGACAACWTCAGGAATTTCTATTGAAGCTTGGRCAAGCAAGAGAATAATACTGATGTATATTGAACWTTCAAGTTATGCCTGAATTTGCTTGTCAAATTTGAAAGACATTTATATATTAATGTCAGGACATCTATGTAATTTAGATTTCCCCCGAGTCAAAACACTTATGAATTCGGATGTGTTCTGKCATAGCCAATGTCGCAAAATCGTATTTTTTTGGGGGGTACATTTTCATATGTTAGAGTTAGWCTTTTTCAAACAGTCGGTTCCAGTTAATCTGTCGTAGTACTTCTATGACATAAATCTCTATTCTATTGATTTTCTTCAGTATTTCGTGAAAGAATTTGGGACAACAAAAAATATGTTCTTCTGTACACGTGCCATTGTTGTCCAGTTTTTWCCTTGGGCAAAGCGCCACCATAGCCCCATTATATCTTAAATATTACCTCGTATTTTAAATTCCAGTCAACAACATTCCTTTTTTAGTTTTTAGTAAACATGTGCACGTTTGACGTCTCACACGTGGATCTCATTCGTTTTTGTCTAGGCATGATGATCAAATGAGGTTAAAGCTAGTGGGAAACCTTATTGTCCTACTTGATGACGATCTGCGTCGACGGAGGCTTGTTTACTATATGTGCGCAATAAGGGAAAATAAAGGAAATATTCTCTCTTTGAATGTTAAGATTTAAATTCTAAAGCTGGYTTTCATATTTGATCGATGTGTATCACATCATCGCGGCACCCAGGAGTAATCTTCCGTCGTTCGGCAGAAAAATTACACCCTTGGGTTCTCGGTTGTCTCGCTGATGTTCCCCTTTGTTTATACTTAAACTGGTTTAAACTGGCTCTTGACACGTTAAAATATAGGAGAAATTCTGGAGAGAGCATAAAAACACAAACAAAACCGGTTTTTCAAGTGTAATCCATTGGCGTTGTACCAGGATTCCATTGAATAAACGAAAACGGATTAGGTAGGGTTTAGATGTGAGGATTTTCCGCACCAACCGAGTTTAATCGCCTAAGTAATTCCTCAATTTCGCAWTCGACTCTCAAATCTTGGAAAGTACAATTCTAGAAAGAGTCYAGTTGGTGATATTTGGAACTTCGCCGGCAGGGTGCTCCGGCTCTGTCATCAAACCCTCAAGCAAATAATACAGACAATAAAAAAAGGACGGTGTTGATCGTTTTATCGGGAAGAAAGATGATATGTATTCGTTTTTTGTTTTTGTTTTGTTTGTTCTATTTTCTTCTTTTTCTGCTTTTTTTATTATTTTATTTATTTTTTCTTCTCTTTCTGCGTGGAACGGAACAAATGAACGCTTCACTTGAAAGAAATCCACCAAAGATTAATTTATTAGTGACGACCTGACGGTTCGTTTTAAGGAATGGAACTCTAATTAACTGCGTCTGAGGGTCTACAATAGCTTCATTTAACTATAGACATAGAAAAGGTGATCTTATCCCATTTCAATTGCATTGCAAATGCTATCAGTTTTATCGGAGAAAACTTACGAATCAACTTCGATTTCAAGCGATGAGCAAAAACAAGACAACTCTGATAGTAATTGAATCTAATTAAGATGAGGTCTGTGTAGACAATCTGAAGCATCAAACCCGCGTCGCTTATTTATTCAAAGAGCCCATATATACCAATCATTTCGAAAGGTATTTGACTGCGTCTTAGGCAATTAAACAAAACATCAATGTCTATTATTTACTTTGGCCATTTATCGAGTAGTTTCTTCCTCTGACTCATCACTGAAGTGAGATATTTTATAGCCATGTTCTTGAAAGAAATCCATATAGCTATACTGGCTCTCCATTCACTTCAATTACTCATTGATTCCGTTTCCGCAATCAAGTTTTTTATTCATATTTTTTCCTAATCGATCGGTTAGACAGCTGGTATACGTTCAGTCAAAACACGAGGTCTACGCCCGCGGAAGTGATTCCAAGAAACTCGAGCCTATAGAATGGATTTTTGTTAAGGAGTGCTTTGAATGCAATATTTTGGTCTTCTAGAAGGTTAAGTCTAAGCAGACTTTAAAAAAATAATGAGAAAGAGAGCATTTTCTGTATATCGTGACATATATTTGMTCGTAGTTATCGATATTTTTGTTACTCTACCACATTCTGATTAATTTTTGATACCTCCTGCGGCTCACTTTTGCGCGGGAAACCACTCATTCATAACCTGTTCACAAGTAACTATGCTATATACTACACAATATTGTGAAAGAAAACTTAAAAACGCTTTGCCARCTAAAACCATTCCTTGAAGTGTCAGAAGGTTTAGCAGATTTCTGAGGCTTTCGTATATATAGATTGGGCCGAAAATCGAAGTCCGCAAGTTCTATAAGCGTCAGTCGTTAACGTTTTGCTTCGGTTGTAATTAAACAACAGCGGGTTGCTTGGAGACGAAAGTAAATAGTAAATATTCTAGTAGTATGGCGCTGAATATTCAAACTATAAAAACCCATGTAAACAAAGTTTACTTAACAGTTCGGCTCTTGAAGTATACTATCAGTAGTAAACTAGCTTATTCAGTATTAAACGTAAATRATGTTTTGTGCCTTTGAGAGCGACAAGATGCTCTTTCATATTTCAACTTATTTTTTCAACTCAGTGTATGATCCTACTACCGTGTCTACTTTAGAAATATCGATGCACTTTCAATCTAAAAATGYAGCTTAAGTGTGTAGTTCTTTGCTAAGTTGCCTGTCGACTTAAGACATATTAAGCTTTCAGTTCCGAAACTCGGGAAATAGTTTAAGCTTGATATCATCATTCTTGGTAACAGGTTTGGCTTTGTTATGGCAGGCAATATAGATTTTTAAATTCCTTTTTTTAACCGCATAATAAAATGGGTTCTTAGAAAGTTAATTTACTTAYGACAAAGTTTAAGCATCTAAAATCTCATCCCGGAGGATACGTTCGCAATGAGTAAACTATGGAAGAACACCTGTCGATCAGCCTTTTCAGGCTAAAAACAAGATATCTCGAAAAKGGACCAACGCAAAGTACACTAGTATTGTCAATCCTAATTATATAGTAAAACTTTTAACATCACAATGTCCAATTTGCAAGAATACGTCTAATTGCCAAAGCACAGTAATMATACTGTACGAAAACGAAAATTAATCTGTATGATTAAGGTGTTTGCGGCCTCACATCTTATCACCCAAAAGCAAGCACGAAAGAAAGCATGCTATTACTAGAAAATACGTAGAGCACTGAACCCTAGTGATTGCTTAACGACTTTGTTTTTGGGCTTCTTACTGTATGAAAAATTATTATATTCTGTATGTTTTGGATAATTCCTGRCGGGACAAAAATTGTGTTCCGTGACGAAGTCTCTGCTACGTCCATATTTCACCATAGAGATAGAATAAATTAAGACAGCCATTTCCAGATAACGAGGCACGCACGCGAGCACAGTTCCTTGYATTTTCCAAATAATTCATATTTCTATTGCAATTTTTTTATTTACAAGGTAGTTTGATAACGAAATTTACTGAAGTGTGTCAAAAGACACTGATCTGTTCTTTTCAGTGTTGGCAATGGTCGTATATAACAATAGCAAGGATAATTGCTGTATGAAAGGTACTTGAAAAGGTGTTGGACGCTGCACGACAGTTTGCGTGTCGCGCATTTCAGTATAGTTAAAAATGTTGGTTTTTCTTTCTGACAAATATCKCTAAAAACAATATGAAACACAAAGGAACTATCGCAGCAGGATTGACTGATGCTGSTTGTTATTGTCACACTTCACGGACTGCGWGTGTTTTACGTACTGTTTCCAACGGAAACGCATCGTGGCGTCCCAGTTGCGCACTCTGCATTCGGAAAAAAAAGGAACTGAGTCTTTTTTGACAGCATTTCCAGCAATTTTCTAATACTAATGGAACTACTTAATGTAATGCCCTTTGTAGATGCTTTAGTATTGTATTTATGTGCTATAAGTAATGGCTTTTGAAATATGTTCAATTACATAATCATTTTTATACAAAACGAGGATTATGCAACTAGCACGTACGCACTGATAACAGACAATTTCGGTATATTTCTTTGAAATACAGTTCGTCTGATTCTGACCACGAACTGCGTAGTTTCTGAAAACCGTAGAGTGTTTGCGCGYCAAAACAATTGGTCCATGAGGGGMCGTGGTTTTCGTTAAACAAGTTTCTACACTATTACCAAGAATGGTAATGTTTAGCTTCGGAAGGCATAATCTATTCCACKACAATAACAACTGATATTTTTATTCAGCTGTGTACAGAAGTCCAATGAAAAAGAACWCAGCATTGTTTCTATCAGTTCTTGCAGACTCYCTATACTCTCATTACCRCTTKTTATCGCACTCTGTATTGGCTTGTTCTATATCGAAAAAGAGTACGAATAACAAAAAAGAAAATTTATGCATCAAATCCCTTTTCTAAAAGTTCTCGCTGATGTATCGCAGATGAAATGAGTAGACGCATTTACACTGAGAGAAATTTCTAGACCGGTCATAACGCTCTAACTGTGGACCTGATTTATGTTGGCAGTCAATAGAGCAAAACTGAGGATTATGACTTTTTTGACAACTAAATTTTCATTGTTTTGGGGAATATGATTTACTATGATCTGTCTACGAATCAAAAACAAACATACGCCAACACCCTAGTTTTAGTGCGGCGGAAATTCAACTGGCCAAGCGAAAAGGAAAAGTCYTAAGAAGATAAGAAGTGTTTAGTCTAAGTTTTTTTTATTTTTTTGGCTGATAATCAACAAGACCTTTGGAGCAACACCYTAACTGAACAGAGGCATTACTGGTACTTATACTGTTGAAAAATTACTTTTTGAAATATTAATTTACACATGAACGAAAAGTCAAGTATTCGTATTAAATCTAAATTTATACAACAGACAGATCGATTGAATTTTATCAAAATCTTTTTATCTTACGCTTTACATGAAAATAAATGTAAATTGAATTCTTAACTTAGACGACATGAGTGGGTGGACAGTGGGCAATCTAGAATGGAAATCACCTAGACTACCTTATGAGGAATAATAATTTCTATTCCTACATGGGAAGTTTATTTCTGGTGTCTATACCGTCATTGGGTATGGCTCACCAATCATCAACGATTTCTGCGACGCATCTAGATGCCAATCTATAAAAACAATTTGACGCAACAGTGGATTTCGAGCTGAATTTGGTGGGAATACTGCGATGAGCCATGACGACCGATGATATCGTTTGGTATGACAATCGCCCACGCTTCAACAGCTCAGTATACATTTGTCATTTTGTTATGAGAGATTGAACGTTGGAAGTAATTATTGTGAGATATGGGAAACGTGGCGTGGGAAAAAATCTTWATGAAAATTGAAATAAAGTGAAAAACAATGAAAAAAGGGAGAAGAGGGTTTTGAAGTCATGAACCGTGAATAATGACGCAGTAAATGACAAGAATTATTTTTATTCTTCTGTTCATTACAATTTATATTTTGTACAAAATATATACAAGACAAAATCTAGTCACTTCCATGCACGTTTATAGCTAAATTCTCAAAACATGGATGTTATTCACAAGTGGAACGGGAACAATTCAATAACAAGAATACTAAGAATTCTAGGCATGTCTTAAATCTATTTTAGAAAAAAAAATAACGACTATTAAGTCGACTTGCCAGCAAGATTTTTTTACCTAACATTACTCAAATACGTTGCCAGTGTTCATTATAAGGCAAAATAACTCCATCAATAACACAACAGATCAGAGTAGAAACTCTGTACTGATTAACAATCAATTTGATTGAAGATATACTCTGTGCTTGGGAATATAACTGCTACTTAAACTCTCAGCAAATAATACATATATACACTTTTGTATCTTCTGTTGCAATACTATTTTCACATTTTTACAAAATATTATAAATATACACTCGATATTGAGTATTTCTTATATCTGAAAGAATAGTGTCCTGAATTTTACTATATTACAGCAATATTGTTTTAATAATCAAAATTTACATCCTAAAGCTCTACACAAAATRTTGTGCAAAAAATATCTGCATAAATTAAATTTGCGAATACTTTTCCTTAAGTTTTTAAAATAATGTGCTTTTATCTTCAACCTTGAATATAAATATATAATGGATAGCTATGTAAACTGGGAAAATTATCTTACAGCCCAAGACTATCTAMCCAGAATATTGGTCGGTCGTGACTCTATGGGTACTCATTTGAATAATTTGTAGACATCAAAGATTCAATGGTATGTTGTGAAGTGTCGCTATCCTCTTAGAATATGGTTACTTCTAAAAAACTACCTGGGCCACACTTGAAGAGAAATATACAGTTTGTGGCTTGGTATACACACGTTGTGTCACAATTAAATRTTCTTCAGCTGCCGTTTGTAAACACCAAGAACCAGACAGTCGTAGTAAGAAGGAAAAKTCATGAATATTCATATGTCTCGTCACTGTTCCCTTCGACTTAAGCGACCTTTTCATCTTTACGCGGGGTTATTGACATAATGTTCATGGTTTTCTTCATGTTTTCGCTTAGATCTTCTAGGGTAACATCTTCTGGGTACCCTTTCTGAATGGCAGTCTGTTTGTGTTCAAGAAAGCAATGTTGTAGAGTCGAAACACTTCCTGGTCGACACATACGGAGCCAACCAACAGCTTCCGCAGCGGTGAATTTGTACTGCTTGATCAAATAACAAGCAACTAGAGTGCCTGTTCGTCCTAGTCCTGCTCTACAGTGAACAGCAACGGCTCCTTCGCATAGATCAACAACACGAGTAAACTTCTTTATTATGGCTTTTGTCGGGATCCCGCCATCTTCGTAGTACTGATCGTAGTGCGAGATACCGTTGGCGGTAAAACACCGGGCATCATACACTAGTCCATATTTTATCATGTTGTCATCCCTGTTCAATCGGACAACAGATTTAACATCATTCTGTCTGAAGTATTTCCTGAGCTTAGCAAATCGACTAGCCTTTACTTCGTTTCTTCTTTGTGGATCAGAAATCGCCATGATTTTGCCGGGCACGATCCAGTTTAAATCGAACGCACGTTCGTCTTCTTCGTATTTGTTTAGGTCAAAGTCCTCAAATCTGAAAAATCCCAGAGAAACAGCCTTTTCGAACCCTTTTAAACAGTCTAGTAATGACAAATTATGAGCCARGTTCCCATTAATGTCATAGTAAGGCAACACAGAGTTCGGTTTGAATTGTTTTTCRAGTAATTCATAAGCGTCTTTGGCGGTCATATTCAACTGACTCACGGCAAACGCGCCACACAGAAAAATCGCTCTCGTTCTCTTTCTCTTCTCTTGGAAACCATCTTGAGCTGTAGTATAAATGACTATCTTCTTTACTGCTGGTACCATGTGTAGTTTAGTATTCACTAAACAGAAAAATCGATAAATTCCAGCCAGGTTTGAGGGGCCGTGGTAAGGTGTGTCGTTAAATTTACAACCGTCGAGAGTCCAGTCATGATCGACGCCAAAATAGTGGAAATATGGGCTGTTTCTTGGTTTAGAGGCCACAGTTACGAAGTACAGACGATCCTTGACTAACTCGCAAGAACTCATCACGTTTCTATCCCACATTGTGGTACCTGTTGTCATAAAACTAGAGRCGAAACGCACACRTAAATTGCGCTCCAAAACCCAAAACAACACTAAAACAAACCGTCGTCGTGGCGCGCTATAAACTCATTCATTCATTCGTGCTAAAAACCGGTTTCTGTTACGTCACAGCAAAACACAGGTCATGATTGGACGAAATCTCAATGTTTGCATATTTGTGAATCATTGTAGCCAATCAGGCAAAAGAAAATAATAATATATTCCTCCTTTGAGTCTAAAGTCCGAAAACACTGGAATTTGGCGCGAAGCTCTGGCCCAAAGACCTCATCGAAACTACGTTCGTGATGTCAGTCATTTTCCGCCAACGCACTAAATATAGATAGCGGAAATATTTTTGTTATTGTAGTGACGCGGAYATTTTTACGAGAAATGGASTACGAAGTTAATTTCAAAAGTATTGATCAAWAAAGCGAAAAAATCCACGTGGAAATTGCGCAAGTTGACACTAAAATTAACATAATAATATAAATTTCACACATTCTTCACCTACCGGCAAAGAGAAGCGTGCAAATACTTCGACCCACACTTTGAGATGAAATTCGAAACTATTATGAATCAGATTTGCYCGGATCACGATTTCGTACACATAAAAAACAAAGACTTTTTCTAGAAAGTCACGGGACTACTATAATAACATTTCGAAATCGTTGTACGGTGTTTTAGCACGACTTATCACAGCCTCGTAATCCTACACACATGGGTGAACTCTAATTGTCTTAAACACATATTATTTTTAGCGGAATTACATTTTTTGTCTCSATTTTCTTTCTGTAAATTCAAAATTTTACTTTATTGAGTAACTGACTAATATAAGTTGTTCAATTATTCATATTTTCACTATTTTTACATCCGATTTAGCATCACGTATCGGAGCGTGATGTCATACATATGCAAGAGCGTCGTTCAACCCAGCTGAGGTGTATTCTTATAGTTATAATAAGTGCATAGAAAGGGATTTGATCTTTTTTAAGGCACATTTAAGAAGTTAYTTAGGAAGTCGTTACTTCTATAAAGAGCAGCTGTTCGGCATCAAAGGCTCCAATTCGACATAAGGCTGCTTTGTGGAGCATCGTTGGAGGATCAAGTGGGATTACTCTGTCAGCTCCCTTTAACCTGGGTACAGTGAAACGGGAAAAAGTTTCCGAGTTTCACTCTTGTGGTTTCACTTCTGCATTATCGACTTCCTTTCTTTCTAACAGGAAATTGTAACGCGTTCGCAAATTTGTTCATGCATCAGGACCATAACCATGCAATATCAATATCGGAGGGGCTTTAAATTCATTCATAACATATGCCCATTTTGTACACCCTTTAAAWTATTTTTTTTTCTTCCTAATATGATATCGGATTCTCTAAGCTCAAAAACATTTTCAAAATGATGTCAAAACGAGGTAGAAAAGGGAAAGAAAAAGAAACTTCCTATACGCTCTTCTAAACAAGGATTACCTTAAAAGGCAATTATTTTTGAACTAAATTACAAAAATGTCATTGATTTTATTAGATTTTAGATTTCCAAAGCCCCTTGAACAAGCAAATGATTTAAATAACCTAAACGAGAAGGGCTTATATATCTTTGTTCTCTAAACATTGTAATAATTTTCATCACAATACATATTCTAATGTAGAAGTTAATCCAGTGTGTACGGATSAAACAAAGTATAAAAACTCGTTCCAGAATGCGTTCCAGAATGAAACAACCAAAGGTGGAATGATACACTAACTAACGCCTACGGAAACCTCATGGAATATCACTTTTCTTATCACAGTGTTTTATTAGATGTTCAGCCCTTTCTCAAAATGTTCAACAATGTAACAATTAATGTTTCAAACAGCCAAATGACATGTTTTATAATACGTCGCCGAAAATCTATAAAATTCAATGTATAGATAATTATATCGGCTACTGAATAAGRAATTTTTKTAAGGCATTAGCAGTTTCTTGGGGATCAGCAAGAGAACATGAAAGAACTCTCAGCCATCGTTTYCCAGAGATGACGATCTACAGTGAAGAAAGGTCAATTGTWTGGTTTCACAATGTTAAATAGTAAACATTTTTACTCCTCAAAGAGCCTAAGTTTTTATTTTAGTTTCTCTGAATTTGTATATGCACTGAAAGCATTGCAAAATTTAATCACCTGTCCCGTCGTCAGTTGTAACTCAATGTTACGCTAATAAATGCGCGCCACCTGTTTCAACTGCTAAACACAACCTGTTGTTTCATCTGTAACCAGTTCATTGCACATGTGACAAAGCTCTAAGAATGGCGTCAAAAGACAGAGCAAAAGGGTTTTTAATGGACAAAACGGGTATTTTTTTGTCAAAACCTGTAAAACCACACAATTTTTTATGGTAGGAGGGTCAGCAGATGTAAGTTTTCATCTGCGTTTTGATTTTAAAAGCAAAGTGAAAAAATGAACGGATGCATGCATAAGAGGGAATAATTACAAAATATCATGAGTATAAAGTCCAGATTAAACATATTTATGTTATGGAWAAAGGGTAAAAACCACCATACCTTGAAATAAACCTTGCATCTTTCTAAAAGAAACTTTATTTTAGACTCTGTGGCTTGTTGTTGTGAATATTCAAGGAAATCAGTTGCCTAATTATGAAATAATGGCATAAAAAGAAATGAGAAAGATAAACACTAATAACAATTGCATAAAACAAATTGGTTAAAAAAATGTTTTCAATAAAATGTATTGCTATAAGAAAGTCATAAAAAGGATTAYTGCATAAGATGCAATTTAAAAGACAAATAAAGATGAAACAATTACCAAGCATTCTAGCAAGTCTTCCACAATTTTTCCCTTCATACGACATTCCACTGTTCCAGTGTGATCAGAAAAGGCAGATAGGATTTCAAAGTTGGTTAAAACTTTTTGATTGCAATTGTTTACTTCAGAGCAATTGGGATTTAGGCACGCTCCAGTTGTCCCATCTATCCTCTGACCACATGAGGCACTAAACAACAAGCAATCATTATAGCAATACAATATAGTTCTTTATATTTATCTATAGTTGTTTTTTTTTTATTTGTGTTTTTTTATTTATTTATAGTWTTTTATTYATTTATAGTTTTTTATTCATTCATYCATCCATTCATTCATTTATTTATCTATCTATGTATTTACCTATTTCTAGTGGTGGTGTTGTTGGGTTGGGGAGGGGGTAAGAAGGTTAAGATGGATCCATTTCAAATATAAYCATCCGTTTTGTTGATTAAAGTTATACTGGCAGTGAAGTGATRTCAAATGAACAAAAAAATTGTCATGGCCGCCTGAATGACTTAGACAGCAAAGTCGACTCTTTGACTTAGACGACTACATTGTCTGGTTTCCTAATGGACTCAGACGTTAAAGTGTCTACCTAACTGACTTAATAAGATGACTTGTCTGACCAACTGTCTGACTTAGACAGAAAGGTGTCTGTTTTTTGGTCAATTTAGATGGCAAAGTGCCTAGCTAACASTTCGACTTAGACAAAAAAGTGTTTGGCTAACTGTGTGATTTTGTTGTCTGGCTAACTGTGCAGTATTTGACGGAAAAATGACTGATTAACTGATTGACCTAYGATCCAGTATTAATGACATAAATATAAGGTAATGGGGACTCCTTGGGTGGATACTCCCTTATTAAAGGTGTCAGGGTCCTCTTTGTAGATTGCAAAACCGAAGTATTGGTCCCACTTTGGGTGATAATAAGAAATTCCTCTCAGTTGTACTGTATATTACCAACATTATATAAATAATTATATAGTATTTAAATTATAATCGTATGAGGAAGTAGCTGATCCCATTAAAGAGTGCTCAATACACATAAAGTGTAGAGCTAGTTATATATGATATCAAAGAGGCAAGATTTTGCTGTAACTCCGAGTTTCGTGCTATGCACTCATCAGACAGTATTTAATTAGTATTTAATTATTTAATTATTATTTAATTATTTATTTAGTATTTAAATTATCTATTATATTAATTACCATCTTGTAACAATAAAGGATCCAGACTCATTATCCAGATCAAAGTGAGTAAGGAATCCATACATAATCCCCATACATTCTTGTTGGAGAGTCTCAGAATCTTGTCCTGCAAGAAGCTCCTTCACTTGTTTCACAGTATAGACATCTTGAATGGCATTTACTAAAAATACATAATCATAGGTATCGCAGTCAATTTTATGAAATAATATATGCGTCAAATCAATAAAATTGAGATTGAGCTCTGAATATAGAATGACCAGTTTAGCCTCCTCCACAGCAATCTCTTGACTGAAATGGGTTTCTCAGTGTCTTCTTCAATATAAGGTGAGCCTGTGACCCACAATAAGGCCACGCACAGTCAAGAGGATACTATAGGAATCCCAAACCTGTTGCCTGACGTGAAGATGTTTTAACAGAAAGGCAGTGTCACTCTTGCCATAAATTGTAATCAATAAAGATTAGCAAGTCGGAGTTGTTTAATCCCAAACATACATTCAAAATTTGGATCTCCAAATCCTTCAGCATCATCATCAAGAATCTCAGCTGACTGAGTGAAGGTGAAGAGCTGTTGAGCTTCTCTTGTATCTRCAAGATAAAACAATATTACACTTCATGCACAATATTCATTTTTTATCATTTAATCATATATCCAGGAAATACCCAGTTTTATTTCCCACTTTCAATATTGTGCATAATATGACCCATACATTTCAATATCTTCAGTATCATCTCTATCCTCCATACGATACCCACTGGGGATGCATTGATATACAAAGGTTGTCCAGTATCCTAGCTGAGATGTCAAGCATAAAGGGAACATTCCACTGCAGCCATAAAGGTCCACAAGATAGAGATGGAATATTTTTATTCTTTGACTGCAGGCAAAATGAAGATATTGCACAGCAGCTTTGTAATTTGTTAATTAAAAGAAGATTCATCTACCTGGATTGGCTGTTATTATAGTCTTTGTGTCACAAGTTGCAACCATAGCTTTTCTGAAGTCATCAAATGTTACTTTGACATCAGCTAGAAATAAGACTAATAAACCATTTGTTCCCATTAATAAATCTAAWAATATGTCCATATTTACAAACAACATAGTACACAGCTTACTGTTRTCTTTAGGAATCCAGGTTTGTGCCAGCTCTATTAATTCTGAGTCCCATCTAACAAAAAAATACACCAAAAATTGTTTATCATGTCTGTGTGTGAAATATTCCATAACTACAAACTATATAAGTTAACTTAATATTTGATCTTAATTACATCACCAATGGGAATGAGTGGCATGTGTCATCAAAGAGTTTTACTTCACATCGTCTGACTTGTTTGCCTTTTTTTGTTAGGATATCCCTTGGTCTTCCAACCTGAAGCAGCAATATACTTTATTAATTCAGTTTAAGACATATTCACAAGAATTATCATGATAGTGCCAAGATGAGTACTGTAATTATACTTGATAATTAGTAAGATTTAATAATCTACTTCAATCTCTATCAATCAAGCACTTACACTTCTAACAGAAGCCATTATATTTATGTGTTCACCATGGAGATCTCTACCATTTGCAATAATGTCACTTAATGTGTAAAAATCATTGCTGGCTTTTATGGGAACATGAGATATGACATCAAAATCACTTGCATCCCATCCACTGTACATGCAAACTGTTGAATGGTTCTCATTGATACTGAGTTGATATTCACTGAAAAAGAAATTACAGAAGAAATGGTGGTTAGCAATATTCTGCAGATATAATTCACACCAGTGGGCAATTTAAATACCCATGTTTACTTGATTTACTGACATATCAACTA